CAAAGAATGGCCAAAACATACGACTATTTATTCAAACTATTGCTGATCGGAGACTCAGGAGTGGGGAAGACATGCATACTCTTCAGGTTCAGCGAAGACGCCTTCAACACCACTTTCATCTCAACCATCGGTCAGAAACACATTACCACTCATTGTCTCATTGCTTGCCATCACTTAGTGATGAGCTCATAGTCACGAACCCATTGTCACTGACTTTAACCCCAAAACCAATAGGTATTGACTTTAAGATCCGAACCATTGAATTGGACGGCAAGAAGATTAAGCTCCAGATATGGGACACCGCGGGTCAGGAGCGGTTCCGTACGATCACCACCGCGTACTACAGGGGCGCGATGGGCATTATGCTCGTCTATGACGTGACCAATGATAAGTCGTTTGAAAACATCAAGAACTGGATCCGCAATATCGAAGAGCACGCGTCCAGTGATGTCGAGAAAATGATTTTGGGAAACAAGTGTGACGTTCACGACCGGAGACAAGTGTCCCGCGAAAGGGGCGAACAGTTGGCCATTGAGTACGGCATCAAATTCATGGAAACCAGCGCTAAGGCCAGTGTCAATGTGGAGGAAGCCTTCTTCGCCTTAGCCAAGGATATCAAGACTAAAATGGAGAAAAAACTGGTGAGTTGTCGACCGCCGCCACCCGTCTCTCCACAACACCACTTCTTTTACATACATTTCTATCTATATTTCAATTTCTTTCTTTCAATTCATATTTAATATACAAATCGTCGCAAAACTTTACTTTCAATTATAATGGCTTTCCTTATATAACAGAAGGTATGACTCATTCATTCATTTAATTGATTGAATGCATAATAGCTTTAGTTTTGTTTTTCTGTTTAGCATTTATTGTGTAACTGCTATGAAATGTTATGTATTTATCGGTAAATATGAAAAGTAATATTAATAGTGATTTTGTTGCCATTGATAGGAGGCGTCAAACCCCACGCGTGGAAGTCATCACTTGCGGGCCAATGAGCCGACGAGAAAGCCGTCGAAAGTGTGGTTTTGTTCAATACTCTGAATATATAATGTATTTTTTGTAATTTTAATATATATATTATTTTAATATTTGTGGATAGCATTAGAAAGTATTGTAAAATCCAATTGTAAAGCCTTATAATTGAGTGCCTTTTTATTGAAATTATTGATAAATTACAAAATTATATCAATTGTTGAAACATTGCGAACACAGAGACACTAGTATTTGTAAATCTTTATATTCAATGAATGATTTAATGAAGAGTTTATTAATTTATTTGATTTCTTTTGAATGTCATTCCAAGTGTTGCACACGTTTTGGTTTCATACGAGACTTTCTATAATAATAATTATTATTAATAATATATATATA